CAGAAGACCAAGTGCTTTCTGGACAGGGTCAATGTGCTAACAAATTGCTTGCTTGTTCCCTGTGTTAGCTCGGTCTTATCTCTGTTAAACTCAAGGTCACTTGTGTGTTCAGCTGAGCAGACTTACCTGGTACAAGCTAATGTTTATCAGCAAGGCAGAGACTGAGTTGGAGGACTAAGCAGGAGGATAAGCAGGGAAAGGGATGAAAGGAATAAAGAGGAAAATGAAAGAGGAAAGAAAGGATTAGGAAAAGAATAGAAGGATATATAGATGATCTTGAGGTCCTTTCTAATCCTAACTCTTCTATGATTCTGTGATATGAAGGAAAATGGAAAAAGATGAAGTAAAGGTAAGGAGTGAATGGAAAAACTAGAAATCATGGAGGAAGAGTAAAATGAGAGGTGGAGATGGTTGCAGGCAGGTATGAGTTAGAGAGATGTAAAGAGAGAGAGGAGTTTGGGACCAGGTGGGATACCTTCAGAGTGAGGAGGGAGCCAGAACTCTTGCTGGCTGGTATTCCCTACTGAGCATCCCCCCCTGCTTCTGCAGGACCAAGCCCATTCATGCAGCCAGTGCCCCTGTCTCATTCCTCACCTGTCAACACTCTCACCATGCACCAGCCTTGAGCACCATGGGGATGATGCGTGCATCCATCCTCCCTTCTTCCACAAGACTTTCATGCGGAAAGTTTTGAAGAACAAAATCTCTAGCTGAGGGAAGAAGAATTACTGTGTAAATTCAATTATCTTGACAGCTTAGTGCTCAAGTGGATCAGAGTTTCTCTCCAGTTCAGCATAGTTCCACCTTCCTAACCTGTCCCTGCACTTGCCCACCCACACCAGAGGCTGTAAAGTACTTCAGCGGTTACAGAAATGAGATGCCTTTTCCCCTGGGAGAGATGCATTTCCCCCTGCTCCACCATGACAAGAGGTCAGCTCACAACCAGAACAGGTCTTCTTTTCTTCTCCATCCTAGGCTTTTACTGCCCCTGGACCTTAAAGAAACTAAGGCTTTTACAAACAAGACATGCTTGAAGTAGCCAAGAAGGAGAGGAGAAACAGAGGAAGGGCCATCACGTCCTGGGGCTATCCTCACTCACGGCACTTAGGTGCCACAAATCAAGAGCAAGAGGCCTGGAAAGCTCCTGGAGTTTAATGAGTCAACTGCTTTGTATTAATGTTTCCCTTGGTTTATGAACACCCAACAAACACATGGTTCCCTGGGTTGCTGGTGTGGTAAGGATGCAAGAACTGAATTTTGGGTGCCTGCCTGATAGTCCAAATAAGCACCATGTGCCTAATCCACCATTGCAAGATCCTGAGATACAGCCAGGGGAAAACCTGATCCTACTGACATAAATCTGCTTTATGCGACGAGCCCCTTTGACTGTCAATCTGTCACCACCTCCACGTGTGGCAGTAGGAGATTAGGTACAGCCCCAGACCTTACAAAGGGTGAATTGTACAGGGTTTCTAAGCAGTGGGGAGCAGGGCTGGCTGGAGAAAGGTAAGAACAACAAACAGCTGGGTTGACAACCCCTGAAAGGATGAGGATGCCCAGAGGTGACAGCAGAGTCACTTAAAAATGCCACTTCATTGGAGAAAGGAGGCAGTGTTTGGATTTGTTGGTTTTACTTACACAGATAATGTTTGGAGGTTTTTTTGTTGATTAATGGAATTTTATTTCACCCCAGTCACCTGCAGTCCATTATGGTATGGGCATGCTACCCTTATGCAAAGAGAAGTGTAAACAACAGCTGATGCTAAAGCTGTCACCAGGAATGAAAAGGCGAGAACAAGCGGCCCTAATGTAAAATTGCACTGGAATTGTGTTGGAGTTGTTTTGGATATGACTTATGTGGCTACAGTAGACATAACTCATCCACAGGGATTGAAGCATCCTGGATGCATCTGTGTTATCACAGCCAAGATCAGGAGGCCACAGGAGGAACTGTAAGCAGAAGGGGTTTGCTAAGTGAGCTGAAGCCCTGGGGCCTGCTAGGGCTGAGCTCGTTTTTGCTAGAAGTTGCTCTCTGAAAAATTTAGCAGTTGCCCTTCTCTGACCCATGCTTGGGAAGAGACTGCTGTGTTCATTGGCAGAGTGACTGACTGCTCAGCATTGTTTTCCTAGCTAAACTGGGATGTAATCCCAGCGGATCTGCAGCCACCAAGAGCTGCAGGAGACTGTCTCACTGGCTGCATGAATGGCACAGCTGCAGCTAGAGTAGCATTCATCTTGCTCTCAAAGGACCCGTGCTCACTACTTTGATGATTATTAATTTTCTAGTGACACACAGACTGTGCCATATAAGTGGCAAGCTCATTCCAGCTAGAAGAAGGCAGTGATGTGCTACCTGATTACAGTTACTCCAGTTGTAGTGCCAGCAACATGGATGTAGCCACAAAAGGACAGAACACAAAAGCTTTGTAAACAGAGGTTCTATTTTTAAATGACTTTTGCATGGCTAAGTCTAAGAAACGATTTCACCTCTGCCTGCTGATTTCATCTCAGCTCTAGCACTGTGCTGTTCTGCTGTGCTCAGTTTCTTTGAGGGTCATGGTGTTCTTCAAGACTTCTCATTTAATCACTTGCAGCTCAGAAAAGACCACTTTTTGAAATGAGATGTATTTTGGGGCTATTTTCTTATTTGGCATCTGGAAGAGTGTGTTTCAGGTTGTTTGCTACTGCTCAAAAATAGTATCTTTGCCTTCAGAGGTCTGGCTTTAACCTGGTGTTCTAGGGGATGTGGTTTTTTAGGAGAGGAAAAGAAGATCTGTGGGACTTCACCAGGCTTGGAAACCTTTATGTTTCTGTCTACATGCCTACCCCCTGTAACAAACTGGAGTGTAAGGATCTCTTCAGTCATGAAGCTGGCTCTGTGGAACTGTGCTGTGAAGAGGTATTAACCCATGTCCTGGGAGCAATACAGCTAAGTCCATACAGTGCTTTCCCTGTAACTGTAGTTCCAAAGTTGTAGCAGGTCTAATTCTGGAGCAACAACACATTGGTGAGGCAGTTTTACTTTATACTTTTGGAGCAAGGTTGATCAGTGGTTACTCAAGACGCTTTGCACTGCGTTCATTTACACCACACAGGTTTGTCCTTAGTATGATGCCTGTAGTCATGTCTGTGCAATTATATCTGTGCGCATTCTTCTTTTCATACATATTTCCCAGTTTCATCTGACTGGATCCTAAGCCTCTGTCTATCACTGATGCTTTTTGTAGTCTATCTAAGTATCGCTGCTTGGTTTGGGGTAGGCGTTTTTTGAGTTGCATTTTTTTGGGGGTGTGAATATTTTGATTATCTGCATGAAATCCCTCCTCTCTCCCTCTGCACTCGGTGTACATGGAACTGACAGCTCCAGGGATGTAAATGAATGCCACTGCATTTCAGAGGAAGAATTATTTTGTGCAATTACCCTAAAAGTGCATGAGAGAACAGAGTGAAATGAACGAGGGAGAGGAAGAAAGAGAGCATGAGAGAGAATAATCACAACACTTCAACAAGTTTACCCCACTGTGTTTGAAAATCTATCACTCTGACAAGTCCCCTTTGTGAAAGGTGTAGACAGATAACTAGACATTTGCTCTTCCAGGTTCTTTTGAGTGAGGAGGGTAATCGATAGAAAGATCAGTCTGTTTCACTGATGTTTCGATCCAGTCTTCTCCCTGATATTTCTTATGAACTGGTCCTCTCAACATCTCAGCCTCTCTGATTCACTCCTCAGTGGTTCCTGGGAAGAAGGAATTGGATGGACTAGGTTACTGGACTACTGACTTATGGGTCTTTCTATATAAATTATGATGGTTTTGATTTGAGAAAGGGTGGAGTAACAAAAGGCTGAGTCTCCTGATTCTTCCCCATCTGAGCCTGTCGATAGACCAAGGAAAAGGGAGTATTTTATAACTTCATTAATCACATCTGAGAAGAGATTCAACAGAAGCAGTTTCTCTACTGACTCTGCTGCTATTTCACGTGTTGATGCTGCCACCCTCTTGACCCTGCTCTGCAAGTCAGGGTCACCCTGAGGAAGCTGATGACAGCAGCCCATGTCTTCCTGGAGGCCCCATGCACCTGTGTTCACTAAAACATGCAAAATGCTTTGAGATCCTCAGGTGGAAATTGCTGGCCAGGGTAAATGGTTAGTAAAATCCAGTTTCTCACTGTGCTTTCCAAGAGGCAGGCACGTTACTGGACATCCGCCATACTGGGCAAGGAGGGGAGTGCTGGGCCACAGGATGCTAGGCCAGGTCACTTTTTTTCACCTGCATCTGCTGCTCTTGCAGCAAAGCCAATGCATTAGTCATAGCTATTTGCACTTTGAGGTTATTTAGGGAGCATGCTGCTGGGTTAGGAAAGATAAGGTCTAGCATATGTCCTAAAATTAGGCTTTTCCCCTTTTGGTTGCTGTCAGAAAGGAGTGAATCACAGCTTTAGGAGAAGCCTTCCTGCCTAGGCAAAGCAGTTACCGCTTTAAGTAGAGAGCTTGCTTCTACGTGAGGTAAGACAGGTTAGCTGAAGCTGCCTCCAGGGACCTCATCCTGCATTGTGAGATGAGTGGAACAATGGCAGTATGCTGCTGTGCTGCAGGTAATGCTCAGTAAAACCAGCTACACAGCCCTCCTCTTCCTGGCCTCATGGGAAATGTCCACCCCCCATGCGTGCCCTCTCCAGGAGTGCACACTCCTTGTTGGCACAGCTTCATGCAGCTCTCCTTCCACCTGAAAGTCACAGCAAGTAAGTTATCACAGCTCCTGGCCTGCATCCACATGGCACCCTCTCACTGCTCGCTGCATGTTCTGCCAGGGGAGCCGTGGTCTCCAGTCCTGCTCCTGGAGGGTTCCTGGAGGCTTTGGCTTTGCTCCCAAAGACTCAGGCTTGACACCCATGACTTCCAGAAACCCTTCAATGAACATATGATGACTCTATGGCTCAAACCAAAATGTTTAATTTTTCTGTTAAACTTTCTCCTTGTCTCTCACTCTTTCCTTCTGCAGGATGGTGGAGTACTCCCTGGATCTCCAGAACATTAACTTGTCTGCAATCCGTACTGTCCGCGTCCTGAGACCCCTGAAAGCTATCAACCGTGTGCCTAGTAAGTCCAGCTTCCCTCCACACCTGCTCAACTTGAGTTGTGGGCAGTATGTGATTAGTAAGGCTGTGTGTAGTGGTGCTCTTCAGGTTTCAGTGCAAACTGAGTGGAGGCTGAGCACTGTATGTGCAGGCTTTCCCCCATCATGGCACCAAGAGTTGTCACTGGATGGGCAGGAAAACTACAGTCTCCTGGCATATCTGCCCTGGTAATCCTTTAGTGCAAGGCCATGCTCATGGCTCAGGAGCTCAAGATGAACAGTGTGCAGCAAAGGAAAGGGTTTTTCTTGTTCTTACTGAAGGACATCACAGGTTTGATAGCATCTGCCTGAAGAGGGATGTGTGCGAGGTCTGGAGGGGGGTAGGCAGGTGGGATTGGTTTACTCAGGCTTTCACACATTCTTCCAGATCCTCTCACATGAAAAAATTTCATGCCATTACAGTTTAGGGGTGTGTAGCACTGGCTGCTTTTCTTTCATTCTCACCCTGTGCTTTGTAATCTCTCTCTTATGCAGACTATTCCCCTGTGAGCTGGTGTGTGTGTGAGAGCCAGGCTGAGCACCACTGGGCATAGGGATGCTGGGACTGCATGTGAGCCTAGATGTGTCAGCAGCAGAACTGCTGCTTGTTGGTGCCATTCAGATCTCCGGTGCTGTTCCCAGCTCAGGTCTGCATGCAAACCAGAGAGGTGCTATAGCCCTGGAGCATGTGCCATGCATGTGTGTTATTCCCACAGTGGAGTTGGCCCCTCCATAACTCTTGCTTCCTCTTTTCCCAGAGGATGGGGACAAGACCAGCCTTATTGTTGTGATTTGCAGTTTTTATTGATGCTGAACTGTTTCTTCCCTCTTCTTCCCTTCCCTTACCTCTTCTGGTTTGTTTTTTGTTTTTAAATCAGTGTCATTCTCCTGCAACCCTGAAGTGAGTAAGCAGGCATTACTCTTGTTATTTAACTGCACGAAACATCAACGGAGGTGGCTGAGCCTTAGTTGTGGTTGTATCCAGGTGGCTGGAAAGAGAACTGGTGGGCAGGTTGCGTGCAGCTGGGATCAGGGGGTTGCAAGAGCACTGAACTGTGTCACTCTGATGTTTCTGGCTATTCCCTGTGCAAAGGCAGCAGCTGTCACATGCAGCCCTTTAGGCATTTCATCCACTATTTTTTTTCTGTCTTGCAGAATGGCAGGAAGCTTCTTTGCTCTTCCCTGTAATCTCTCTAATCAGGCTGTCTGCAGTGGCTAACACCTTGCCAGAGCTCTCCTAATCCTTCTCTTGAGCTCAGAGTTCCCTTTTCTTTTCCAGATCAGGAAAGTTTACACAGCTGACCTCACAATTTACATCATACATTTTCCCTTGTGCCAAAGTCACCTTCTTGATGCTACCTATTTCTTAAACATGCTATGGAGGTGGATTTCAGGGTCTCTGGCTCCATGCAAAGCCCTTCTAGAAAGGGTCTTCTCCCTCTTCCTGGGTGTATTTTTATCTCTGAACAGTAGCTGAAAGCTGTGATGGAGGAACTGAGGCACAGTCTTATGAGCCCAATGGTACAGGAGTGTAGCAGGCAGAGGAGCAGCTGGTCTGGGCACTGAGCACACACCCAGGCACATGGCAGGTCTGTCATGGGGTGATAAAGATGGGAACCAAAAGCTTTTAATCTACTGACTATCAGCACAACTCCCTCAGCCTGTCTCTGTCTCTCTGGCCCTTACCCTGAGAGGAGAGAGCTGTGAGCCCGCCACAATCCATGCTGTGGGCATGCACTCCAGCAGTGGGGGGGACATCTCTTCTGCCAGGGGGTGGCCTGGATTGTGTATGGCAGGTTTGCCTCTTCCAGGGAGTGTATGGCTGGCTGTGTGAGGGCAGCACCATCCCTCATGCTATGCAGCCCCCTTTCCTCCCTGAGTTCCCATAAGTCTGTGCTTAAAGACCACTTAGAGGTTGATCCCATTTATCAGAGTAGACTTAACCTCTGTGATGAGTGGGAACATCTTGAATGATAGCCAATTGACTCCTGCAGATGTCTGCCATGTTAATTGCTGGACAACAGCAACCAGGAGCAAAGCTTGACTAACAGAAAGTCAAGGTCTTGTTTTATTCCTATTTATCTCCCAGAACAGCTGGAGTCACTCCCACACCAGCAGGAGCTGGCCCACCAGGGACCTGCTCTGTCCATGCAGAGGCACCAGGGATGCTTTCAATCATCTCGTCTGACCTTTGCAGAGCACAGGCAGTTGAATTTCCTCTGGCTGTCCCAGTCGTAACGCTGCTTGTCTGCTCCTTTTATCGGTGTAAAACTTCACCTGTATGAAATTGATGCTGTTTTAATTTCCACTCTGGGGTTAAACCTTTATATATCTTTCTCGCTACATAAATCCGTGGTTATAATGCAGAAAACGTTTTGGAAGAAAGACATCCTGCCATTAAATAAAGAAAGAAAAAAAGAAAAGAAATTAAATTCCCTGGGAGAGAGGAAGCACTGACTTGAGAGTTGAAACCGGCAAAGAGGCTGTAAACAAAGGGTTGTGATAAATGGAATGAGCTGCATTGGAGGAAGGTGCCTAGTGGGGTACAGCAAACATAATTAATGAGACCTTTGGCCACAAATCTTTTTTTAATGTCTTTTTAAAGCTCTTCATTACTGATGTGAAGCAAGAGGAAAGTCTATTAGTGAGATATACTGATGATACCAAGCTGGAGGTGTTGCAGGTGTTAGCAAAGAAAGTGGGAAATGAGACAGCAGGAAGTAGAGGGAAATTGAGGTCTTGGTGGGAGCATGAGGTATTTGGAGAGGTACAGAAAACTTAATCCCAGAGGCAGATATTAGGCCATGTTCAAAAGGCTGTGATGGGACAATGTGGCCCGGAGTTCACTGGTGGCCATTTCAAAGTCTTCCACATGGGCACTCAGACAGGTACCAGTTTTCACAGAGGAGTCTGGCCATGTGGACTCAATAATGGCAGTTTATTACCAGGAGAATGGACAAAGTGATTAGGAACCTGAATGATTACTGCATGAGTGGAAGAGTGCTACCTGTCTGGGTAGGTTATTTAGTGTCCAAAGAACAGCAACACTCTAATAACCAGCCAGCATTTGAAAAGTCCACATACTAAAAAGAGACATTTCTAGAGAAATTTGATGGAAATTTTATGCTACGTGAAGAAAAAAAAAAAAGCAATGCCAGAAAATTAGGAGGGAGAAAATTCAGAATGACTCTAAGGAAATAGTAGCATCATGGTAGAGGAAAACGCATCACCTATTAAACAAGTTAAAGTTATTTTGTGTTCTTGGCAGATGGGCAAGGCTGAAGTTTAAATACTTAAATTGGATATATCTTAATTCTGCTTACCTGTGTTTATTCTTAACATGTTAATGAAAGCCTTTCCTTACAGTGAAACTTGTGAGGCTTTGAAACAATATCCCACAAGGATCTGACAAATAGTATTTGTCATCAAGGGATGAGAGCTCCTGTAGAGACATTTCTAGATTTCAGATTTCCTTGCTTTAGGGTTAGAGCTGAACTTTAGCTACTGGTTTTCAGCGGTCAATTGCATTTGTGGCAGTTCTCAGCAGGATGCGCTATTGACCATTCCAGATTTCACTCCTGGATGAAGAAGTCTGTGGCTCTGTCCTGTATGATTGTTCCTCCATTCGCATGTCATCTTTGAAGTGTACTAGAGAAAACACAAGGCGCCCTAGTTTTGTAATACGTATCACACCTTCATTAATATTCCCAGTTATCTCATGCATTCCTAACTACAGCCCCAGGAACGCTGCCTTCGGGGGGGTTGTTTGAAAATGCATAAAACAAAAAAACAGTGATTGTTGTGGTCCTACTACCATGTGATTCAATTCCATGGCTGTGAGCTGGTGTGGCAAGCCCCAGGAATCACTGAGCAAGTGTAAAGAGCACAAAAAATACTCTCCAGGTCTCTGTCAGCAGTAGCTGCTTTCTGCTTTGGACATGTCTGTGTCCTGGGCTGGGGGTGAAATTCCACATCCATTTGTTATTATCCTTTTGCGATTGTGTGTCAGGTTGCTAGGTGAAACGCTGTTTCTGCTACCTCTTTCATCCCTTCTTTTCCTGGCAAGGCATAAGGCTGGGAGTGGGGAGGTTGGTCTTGTTTTATTTCTGTCTGCTTTTGAGGAGGGAGTCTGTAGTCATTTCTGATCATTTGAATTTCTTTCACTTTTATTATTGCACCTTTTTGATGTTGGAGCAGAAAATGTTTCTTCAGTTTACTCTTGTTGCATTGGCCTTGTGCAGAATCCTTGCATTGTGTTTGATGCCTTCCAGTTTCCACTTAGAATTTAGTAACTGATTCATCATTTGGAAGCAGATTACTTCAGTGGAGCACACTGTACGGAAGTGAAGGAGTCTGTTGCAGAGTGTTGCATAGCAACTTTATTGAATAGAAAATATAAACGTGTGCTAATACTTGGTGTGTAAGTACAGTAATATTTATGTGGAGGTATAGGCATTTGAAATATACAGTTATATTCTTATTACTAGCTGTGCAGGAAATAGAATATCAGATTTGTGGGAAGTCCTGCTCTTTTTAAACCTGTTTTTTCTCAGAACAAGAATAAGCATGTCCCATCCATTTTAATATTGATTTATTCTGCCTAATTTTAGGTGGTTTGTTTGGCTTTTTGATGTTTTTTTTCTTATACTTTTTTTTTGTGACAGGGAAGTATAAAAATTGAAGAAACCTCAGCCATGCCATTCTAGTATAAAAAGCTTTTCTCTCCTCTTGTCCTCCTTTTTCTTTTTTTCGCTAAATGATGTTCGTTTCATCAAAACACTGAAGTGTTTCAATTTTAATAAAACAGCATTTTTTTGCTGGTAAAAGTGATGTGTAGGAAAATCTTGGTCTGGCACCATTTTTATTTATTAAATATTATTATTATAGTAGCTCTATGGGTCCAAATAGACTGGAGTTTTCTACTTATCTTCTACAGATCTCAGAGATACAAACAAGGCTTGTTAGTTTAATGTCTCGTATTTCA